TTCAGTACAGTGAAGAGGACCTGGGCAAATCACTAATTACCCTGGCAATTGGTTAGCAAATGAAGGCTACAATAGAAATGGCAGTTCTGCTTACCCTGTTTTTGGTAAAATGTCTGTTTTAACTACTATTCACAAGTTCCTAAGTCGGAATCCAAAGCTTAAAGTTAGGTTCATTTTCACCTTAGCATAGCGAGGAGGACGCGTAAGTTCGCTATTCGTCTATTCTCCCGGACTAGGCGTGCGGTAACGTCTTATACTGCAAACTTACAGACCTGCTCATATTATTCTGTTTTTCACCTTTACTTTTTCACAGATACAGCAATGTATTCTGCTCGATAGGTTTATACTTCAGGATCAGATAAAGTCGAAGATCCCGTGGAAGATAGAACACGCATGAATCAATGCACAGTATTTTTATTTAAATCGTGAGTGGTCAGCCCTGCAAGATCTGGTTCCACCTAATAGGCCAGAATTCTTTAAATGTATCTCAGCAACAAACCAAAGAGTTCTCTGCGGTTGACATTGTGGTAGGTGAATGTGGAGTTTTTGCATACACCTTTCGTCGTTGTGTTTTCTCTATAGCTTATAAAGACGACATCATTCGTTCACTGTACTGAAAGTCGGTACCAGCTGCCTCAGCGCCTTTTCGGAGCCCCTTTGTCAGTCGACGGCTGCGACAACTGTATGAGCTTGCATACACATCGCTAACATATGGTCACCCTTGACCATGAGATGCCTTCAGTCCAGCTGCACCCACAACTCTTGAGATTATGCATACCCACTCTGTTCAGGAACCAACCAATCGACAGTTCGACCGTCGTTGCCGACGATGTCCACCGTGTGCTCCACCGCAAGGTGGGGCAGGTACGGTGACTTGCGTGCGAACTAGCTTATAGTGGGAGTAGACTTGCGAAGCATCTGTCGTACTTCCTCCTCCCCCCCGCCTGAGTCCGGTGACAAGACATAGTCAAGAAGCCCGGAGGCGAGAGCGGACGCAGGTGGCTTGCACGGCCGGACCCGTACCCGGGCGTCCCACCACACCCCCTGGCCCACAGCAAACACTTGACGGGGATTTTGACCAATAACACCACGAGGGGTTAGAAGGGGGATGATGACTGAGCAGCCATGCTCGCGACCTGTATACGCAGCGGGAGCGCAAGCGTACCTATCGGCAGGCGACCAGATGTCAGAGAACTGCGGGCGCGCACCAGGCTACGAGGACCATGGTTTGCTGATCCAGGCGTAGCAGGCGCTTGGAGACCAACCAATCATATGCCCAACATTCGCCTAATTATTCCCTCCTGCTGGTATGGCTAGGTCACACTCGTGAACAACGTATCGCTACTCGTGCTCTCCCAAACGAAGGCTTCGTTCTGACACACGACATTTCGACCGTCGATTCCGAGGATGCCCACCATGTGCATCACAGCAGAGTGAGAACAGAGACGGTGGTTTACTCGTGAATTTGTTTCTAGTGGTAGTAACCCCCCGCAGCATCTACCGCGCTCCCTCATCCCCCCACTTGGGCCCCCTGTCATGACCGGAGGTGGAAGAGGGCGCAGGTGACTGGCATGATGAAAACCAGCAGCTAGGCGCGCCACCACACCCCCTTGTCCACAACGTTTACTGACCAGGAATCTACACAGCACGGAAGAAAGGAGAGGGGGGGGGTGCCTCGGATCCCAACTGACGCGGCGTGGACCTGCATTTGCGCACACCGACACCCCCAATTTGTTATGGATGCGCGTCCCAATAACCCCTGCCGGACCCTCGTCTAGCCGCTGTGTTGGTCCAGTGCATTTGCCACGTGGCCCGGTTTCGGGGCCAATCTGACGTACAAGCAAACACCCATATCACAATAGCTTGTCCTGTGCGCACAATAACCGGCTCCCACAGCTCGTCGACTTCTGACCTTGGACGCGATGAACCGAGTGTGTGTGGTTGAAGTTGATCTCAAATCCATGACTGTCATAGATTTCGTACTTATGATTTATGAAGCACAGGATAGGAAATAAAACAGGGAAAGACAAAAGAGTGGTACCTCGTTTGCTGTTCCACACGAAACTTCAGCGGTGGGATCTTGCAGTGCTTGACTGTCAGAGAGCTGTACACAAGCCATACTGGACTGTACCCTGTTTAGGAGTGGTGATACACGACGCACGCTGGGCAGACTACTCGTTGATTCCTCCGAGGTATGCTCAGATTGTGCTGGCACAGAAGTACTTCTTTTGGAAGTGGAAGGCGAGAGTGGGTGATGAGCAGAATCTGGGAATGTGGAAATAAGCCAAATTACAGGGTATTTGCTAAAAGTATAGACATCATATGACTAGTTTACTGAGCACGAGGAACTAAGATGAAATGGGCAGAGGGTCATTTTCCGGTACTGCCTTTAAGCCCTATCTTATGGTTACACGAATAAGATGAGGCTACTGTCCCGCATGGTGGAGAAAATGTTTGGAATTGTCTAAACTGACCATAAATAACGGGGAGAACGCCGGCCTATCGGCTCATTGCAAGATCATCTGCTGGGTTGCATAGTACAGTAGTGTTGTTGGGAAGGAAAAACAAGCAACTCCGTAGAGTAGAATTTGCAGAATGGAAAACTATACTGCTGCCAGTGAGCGTCCCCTCAACGAGGTGATTCGAAGACCACATTTAAAGGTGGCAGATATTAGATAACAGAATCACATAGTTCATACAAGAACCGCAATTTTTGCCAATCACCTCATGGGCATGCTTTGATGTTACCTTAGGAAATTACGTAAGACGATTTTAAAATCAGATAGCCTTTGAGTGCTTTGTTAAATACTCTAGTTAAAACGATTTGGTAGTATAAATTTTACTTAAGAAGATCATACTATCTGTGCATAATCATTTTTATTGAAATAACACGGTAGCCCATATCCACAGTGCAATCCTCCATGCAAACAAGCAACTTGAAAACCAAACCACTATCTAAGGTGAATAATTTTCGCCGTGACTGATTTTCATTGAATCCTCTTTATCTTCCTATTTCCTGATAAAATGGGAAAATAAAAATCAGCGTGTTTGCTCCCTAAAACTTTATGAAAAGTATCTGGGCCTGCAGGCGTACATAAGTAGCTAGAACTCGTGTGGAGTATATTTATTTTGTCTCCCCGGACATTTCCTCTCAAGGTTATGGACCACAAAATGCGCAGGCAATCGTATCCACTTAGTATCGCCCACTAAAATGAACACATATTATCATCGAGAATTATTTTAAGATACTTAAATCGTTCGCTCGCAAAAAAAATGTCAACACTGTATAGATCCCATGCGCAGAAGTTACCGCCTCAAAGTGATGTTCTTTAACTTAACACGATGGGCTAACATTCGTGACTTCGAAGGTAGCCAGCTGAGGGTGAAAGTCAAACCTCGCAGACGTGTGCGTGGAATGGCTGACTGGTGGACTGAGAGTCAGCCCCAATGGCTCCTTAATGTGGCATCTATGGCAGTTTTACGCGTGTGAGACCCGAGACGCCCATCCCCCTGTGTGCAAACCTGGTGTGTTGTGCCGGGACCAAGTCCTGTTTAGCATGTGTAGACGGGCTATTGAGCCGTGTCGATCATTTGCGCTCCGTCTCCACGTCCGATGACTGACCGGTTGGGACAGTGGACCGGAGGATGATGGAGGGGAAAGGGAGGTCGCCACGGCATTTCGGTGCATTTTTTTCACGACAAACAATGTGGCGCGCTTTTAAACTAAAAGCTGTGCTAAAAGCTGTGGCATAAAAGGCTGGCAAATGACTGGAGAACTCGGTCCTCTTTGGAGGGAAAGACAGGCTGCAATTGCTTCTTCATAATATGGCCTCATTGGCATTCCAACTCAGACGGGATACGAACCGACCACTTCCTCTTTCCGTGGAAACCCGGTCCATCGTGCATAGATAAGCCGTGTGTGTGGCACGTTTAGACCGGCTGGTTGGCATTGTCAGCTACCGCGTCCGATTTAATCTCCGGTCATCCTGACTTAGTCTTGTCCCCAGGCCCCGGTGGGCGGGAGAGGAGATTGTGCGACAGATGTTGTGCAAGCCTACTATCATCCTAAACTACTTCATGTGCAAGTCACCGTCCAGCGCACACGTTGCTGTGGGACATGGTGGACATCGTCGTTGCCAGGCTTCCATCTTTCCTGCTGTCATAGAGAGCATTCAACGTGTCCGGAAAGTATAAAATAAGGTAACAATTTCCAACCAGCAGGTGTGCCGCTCCGCTGGCTGTAAACACACAAGCACTGAAGAAGAAGACACGATCGCCGGGACAAGAGCTTTATTAGCCTGACGTTTCGGATTCCTGCTCGAATCCATCATCAGAGACATAAGCAGATAAGGGTGGTTCTTGCACCTGTGGCTGCAGTATTTATAGGATGCAGTAGCC